AAAAAATTAAGGGAGAGAAATGAATTACAGTAGATGGGGTAGAGAGAGAAGATGGGAGGGAAGGGGAGGGGGGATAGTAGAGGATAGGAAAGGTAGCAGAATACAACAGTCACTAGTATGGCAATATGTAAAAATGTGGATGTGTAACCTATGTGATTCTGCAAAAATGGGAGTTCATAACCCACTTGAATCAGATGTATGAAATATGATATGTCAAGAGCTTTGTAATGTTTTGAACAACCAATAAAAACAACAACAAAAAAAAACCCTCTTGCTCTTTTCTTGTCTTCTTATCCACATAAACGCAGGCTTCAAACACATGGTGGACAACCCGTGTCTGTGAAATACCATTTTCAAAGTAATTCCAACTTCATGTAAATTAGTCACTGAGACTTCTTTTGGAAGATGTTTTAGTTATTGTTTATGTGGGAATTAAGAACACCACTGGCATATACATGACAACATTTTTTCAAAATTTCTCAACATCTCATAAATATGCAAACTTCTGTAGGAGAAAACTCTAAATAAAACTCACTGCAAGGTGTTCAGTATTGGAAAAACACTATTTCCAGCACCACAGCCAACCTAAAATGAAGAGAATAAACAAATACCATGAATGCATTACATTTTCCACACAATGTCAGATTTTCTGTTTTTCAAAAACAAGAAGTTTACTAGATCTCTGGGTATAGTAGGGCTTTCTATATTCAAAAACAATGAAATAAATCACAAGAATAACACTGAAAATTTGACTATGAAAATATTTTAAATTTGTATACACCAAACCCAAAATAAACCACATTAAAACTTTTGCAATAAATATGATAAAGGCTAGGGCTAATTAAACCTATACCCCAAGACAATCTGCTACAGAAAACAATTTAAATGTCCAGTAGTATAGAAATAGATATGTAAAAATTATAGYTTTCCACATAGTAAAATAATTTGCATTGAGGAAAATTTTCACAGAGAACTTTAAAGATAGGTAAAACTGCTTATGTTAAACAAAAACAAAGCAGAACCCCAAAATGTGTGTACAATATAAGCAAAAGGAGAAAAAAAATCAATAAAATTTTAACAGTGTTTAAATCCTTTGGGGACTATAGATAACTTTATTTCTCTTATCTGCTTTTTAGCAAATTCTCTGTAATCAACATATATTACCCTTTTAATCAGAAAGACAGGTCTTAGTTTTAAAAAATAGAAAACAAAGGTCTACACTAGATAGAGCATATTACATATTTCACTTATTTCTATTTCACCTACAGAGGTAACAACAGAGAGAGTAAATATGAAGACCAAAACGTTATAAATAGGTAAAACTGCTCTCACCGTAGAAATGAAAACAGTCAAATTTTTTTAAAAAGGGGGTAATAGAAATGAAACTGAAAGTCACAAGTTAAAACTTGACTGATTAAAGATGTGAGTCCCTTAAGTATTATTTATGCATAAAAGTACACTGAGCACTTAGATTTGATCATTTTCCACCTAAAACATCTGGAACATTAATAAAACATATGAAACATGCATTTGAAAATGTTATCACTTCCCATTATTGTCCCTTAAGTATAGTACCTCTAGTATTCTGAAATTGGCCCTGCTACCAGGAAACAATTCAGTCTTCAGGGGTCCTTTTCCAAGTTTTTTAGGGTCTAGGTTGGAAAAATCAGATCCTGCTTTGCTTGGGCCATTTGATGAGCCAGAACTTTTCTTAAAATGTTTTTTTTCTTCTTGTATTCTTGAGAAACAATTTGTGGCATTAGGTTTTATATGATCCCATGATGATTCTCTTGCATTCTCTTTAGTTTTTAGATCAATTGGAARAATTTCAGGAAATTCCCTTAATAGCCAATTACGATTCTTGAAAAACTTATTCTTATGAATCTTGTAAAATACATCCCAGTATTTACTAGCTTCACTTTCATACTTATCTAAAAGAGAGGGAAAAAAGAAAGTTATTTAACTATGAATCATATTTATTTTAGCTACTGTTTTGGTGACTATTTTTAATAAATATTGTTAAAAATATACATTGTMAATAATTACATTTATGATTGAATATCTTTAGTCTTATAATAATTTTATTTATCTGATAAAAAGTTAAAATTAGAGGTTTGCTTACTTCTCTTCAAATTATCAATAAGTGAATTATTTAGTTCTACCCCCATAATTCTGCTTTTATCTTTAACAGTATGGCCATTTTTTATGAGTATAATCATTGAGAATTACTTTCTATAGTCTAATATTGGAATCTTAACAATCACATATTTTACTAATAATCTTTGTGGATTTTTACTATCTTACAGAAAGGATACATTGTTTTATAAGTTTCCATTTGACAAATGTGAAAATTCATGATCAAAACAGAAATTGCATAATTCAAATGATAAATCAGGTATGGTAGTACATGCTTGTAATCCCTGCAACTGGGGAGGCTGAGGCAAGAGGATGGCAAGTTCAAGGCCAGCCTCTGCAACTTTCAAGGCCCTAAGCAACCTAGCAAGACCCTCTCTCAAAATAAAAAAAAAATACAAAGGGGCCATGGGGCCAGGGTTAGGTCAAATGTCTCAAAGCTTCAGGCAATTCTTAGCCTCCTGATTCTTCCAATATGTACCTTACATTAAAATTTACTCCCAATCTTATTCATCCAACAAACATTTCTTGACTCCTATGAGATAACAGGCTAATCCCCAGGCTTAATCCATGAATTAAGAATTACTTTCAGGGCTGGGGCTGTAGCTCAGTGGCAGAGCACTTGCCTAGTATGTGTGGGGCACTGGGTTCGATCCTCAGCACCACATTAAAAAAAAAAAATAAACAAAATAAAGGCATTCTGTCCATACACAACTACAAAAAAATAAAAAAGTTTAAAAAATAATTACTTTCACCCAATATAGACACATAACATTTTAAAAGTGGATGCAGATGATACAAAAGCTTTTTAATGGATATGGAGTATTTCCAAGATTTAGTTTTGGTGGGGAAAAGCAAGTTGTAAAACATCATATATATTATGCAACCATTCATTGACAGAGAGAGAGAGAGAGAGAGAGAGAGAGAGAGGCAAAGGAGGAGGAAAAATAAATGTGCATGTACACACAGAACCATTCATGTGTGTGTATATACACACTTACTTGTATAGGTACCAATACCTCTGGAAGGGTAAGCACATATTAGTAACCTTGGATCTCTCAGGATATGAAAGGAGGAGCTAGGGATCATGATGTGGAGAATTTTCATTTGAATTTGATCCATGTGAATTTCCTAATTAAATAAATTAAAACAAAAACTAAAAGATTCATATTCTTCATCATTATAAAGAAGCCCCTGTTCTCAGAACAAGCAGTTGCCTATGGTCAGGCTCATCATTGTTATATAGCCCTCTCCAGAAGCTTACAGTTTTCCTTTTCTTTCTTTCTTTTTTTATCTTTATGGCCTCCCACTATAGATCTCCACCCATCTAACCACAAGACTTCCTTCTCATCAAGACAATTGTATCCAGCAGCAGCAACACTGCTATGAAGTTAGGAACTCCAATTTGTACTTAAGATCTGAGAAATGAAAGTGAATCTTTATAACAAAAGAATTATGGGATGTTAAGTCCAAAACATGCTCACATCTGCACAAACAGAAGCAAGTCTACGTATGGTTTATCTAAAAATGTATATTTATCTTGAAAATAGTTCTATCTCCACTTTCAACAACTGGAGGGTACTTGATATACTGTGTAAGAAAACAAAACAACCTTCTAAAAATTAGACTCAGGAGAAATTAAAAAACTGCCAAATTTCCCAAGGGTCTTTTTGAACCTCTTTCTCTTCCTTTGCCTTAGAAACTCTCTTTGTAACTCATTCCACGCAGGTGAAAGATTTTCTGCCTAATAAAAAGCAGCTAGAAGACCTATATTTAAAGATAAGAAGCTATTTAGTCATAGCTCTAGTATTCAGGTTTCCAAAGTCAAGTTACTTGAGAGGTAAATTTGAGCCTAATTACCAGTAACCAGAATACTATACCTTGATTAAGTTTGCATATATTCCCCTAGGAATTAAGGCGAAGTAGAGAGTACAGGGGAATATCCTGGCAAATGTATGTGCATAGCAGTCCTATTTGTAATAGAAAAAAGTGGGAAAGAATTCAAGTGCCCAATGACATGGGAGCAAATAAACCATGCAAGGCAAACAGGGCAACTTTACATAGTAATTCAAAAATAAAGGATAATTTACTAAGAGAAAAAAATCACATCACAGTAAGCACACTGATGGTAAGTTTAAAATTTATTTATATTCATTCATCACAGATGAAAAATTGAAGCAATGATAAGAATTTCACAATTATTAGGTATACTGTTCTATCTTTTGTAAAGTAGTATCTCTACATCTGACACAAATATGAAGAATCTTAGCTGAATTCTTCATTCACCTAGCCTACAGTTTCCTCATTTAATGAGAAAGTTGAATTACAGTTCTCCGAATTAGTCTGCTTAAGCTCTAAAAATTCTGTGTATTTTTCTATTAAGTGCCATGAATTTTTAAAAAACAAACATGATTAGTTTTACAAACAGCACAATCTTGAATTGGACTGCTGGTCTAAACACGAGCCTGTTGCTTTAGATTTTTAAAATTTATAAAGAAAATTAACCTGTAATAATGTGATTGCAATCTGTTTTAGATAACAAATATCTGAGGAATATAAATTGAACCCCAGTGTATGCAATTTTTTAAAAGAATTCAATTACTATTAGAAAACAATGGTTAATGTTTGCTAATATATCTATACTTTCAWGCTGTTTTTCAAGTCTTTCTCTCTCAAAAATTAAGAGAAAAAAAATCAAACAATTACATGAACCATTATACCAATAACAACAATTAAAAATATCAATAGCTTTTAGAGAAAGACTGCCACTCATCTCTACTTCATTTTGAAATCACACTCAATTCCAAATAATGTTTATTTGAGGAGAGAAGAGTTAGCTACTGGCCTAATACTTGACATGGGGTCCTTTAATTAGCAGAAAGAATTGGTAAAGTGATTTTTTTTCTTTTTCCTTTCTCTTTTTGGTACTGAGGATTGAACCCAGGCATTCCAAGCCTCTTTTTCTTTTAATTTTGAGAAAGGGTCTCCCTAAGTTGCTTAGGGCCTCACTAAATTGCTAAGACGGGCCTTGAATGTGTGATCCTCCTGCCTCAGCTTCTCATGTCACTGAGATTAATTATCGGTGTATGCCATTATGCCTGGCCAGTAAAGTGATCAAAAAAAATTTGTTTTAAACAAAGGGTTTGAAAATCTCTGGTAAATATTTGGGCATATTTGTCTCCTTTTTAAAAATGGTCATTTAAACAGAAAAATCTATTTCAGTATTAGAAATTTTGGACTCACCTGAGAATTGGTTAGGAATGCAAATTCTTACATGATCCCTGTATTCACACCTTAACCCATGATGTATCAGACTACTCACCTGGCCAGGTGCCCATTTAAACTTATAAGGAATTCAGGAAGGCYCTGAATGTGGGTAAGTATTAAATAAGGGCTAGGGGTGTAACTCAGAGGCCACTGGGTTTAACTGGTACCACCCCCTACCCAAAGATAAACCATAGATTGCCAGGAAGTCTATGGAATAAAAATTTACCATATGACACTAACAAATTACTTGCTTTCCCCACTATTCCTAAGTAGACAGTGGAGTATTCAAACAACCAGTCATGTTTTTGAATGGATTACAGATGCACCTAGCTAGATGTCCTTAGAGAGATCTGTGTTAGTTTGGGCTTTCTACTGTAGATATCTGTCATGTACCTTAAATCTCTGGGGTCAAACTAATACATTTATGAACTGAAATAAAGATGAATATACAAAAAATAACAATAATCACATATTAGATATTTATGGTATGTCAAGTAGTATGTCAAATGCTTTACTTGGACTATCCCCTCCCCATTTAATCCTAATAATATCTCCTATATAGACATTGCTATTCCAATTCATAAAGAAATCCAAGGTCAGAGGGGATAAAAAAATTCCCTAAGGTCACCTTGCTAGAAGGAGCAGAGTCACGACTTAGATCAAGTCTGTCAAATTCTGAAAGTTGGGCTCTTAACCATTATATTAACACCATCTTCCTAACACAAAGTCATGATCACCCCCAAAATATCTCTGAAAATGATGTTTTTCTTTTTTTCTTTCCTCTCAATTATGAAACATAAAGATGAAAATTAAAACTTCAGTATGACTTCTAGTCAGTATAAGTAAATTGTAAAAAATAACACTGATTATATTTAACCTTCCTTAAATAGATCAGATGTACAGAATTAATTAAATCTTATTTTCATATTGTATGAAATATAAACTATGCTAGGTTATATGATGAAATTATGATGAACAACAGTAATATAAAATACTCTGTAAGAATAGACGTGTGAGACAGAAAGAAAACAAAGAAGCGGCACCAATGGGTCTCTTACAGCTGTGATTTAAGCAATATTTCAAATCAATGCTGGCAAATCCATAGTTCCCAGTGATGTGTGACAGCTTTTGAGGCCCCACGGAAGCTTAATCAAACTCATCATAATGATGAGCATGAGACAACAAACACCTTTGATGCATGATTTAATTTCCTGAACTGCATAAGTATCTGTGATAATAGTGGAAGTGGAGGAGTTACTCTCTGACCATGAGTGAAAAATRGTTTCAACCTGCTGTTAACCCCGCCACAAGTTCAGGTCAATAATGATAAAAAAAAGAGTATAGTTTTGAGAAATTTATATCAATTTGATCTTGTCTAAGTGACCTCCTAACAGGTGTATGAATCATTAATTTTTCTTGGAGAAACATTTTTTTTTCTTTTTGTATTCCTAAGTTGCCAATTCAGGGGTAACTGCTCCCTGCCATTGGCAGTAAAAGGGGTGTAGTGATCTGTTTAACAAAGCCAGATGAA